TGATAGTCGCATCAAAGAGTCTTTTTTCTCTGATTCCTCCCTCTTCCCGGTACCAACCATATTTTATATGGTCGGTATCCATTCAAATTAGGCTCCTACCAATATATATATATATCAACTTTTTTTCAATCATTCATGATCTTCCAATACTCAGCTATGATTAATTAATGATGAACATGCCATTTTCGTTTATGATCGATTTCATAAAGATTCTTCTGTTAAGCTTGGAGAGTAATTACACATCCTTATTGCTCAAAGTAAAGTCCAATAGTGTTATAAAAACCTCGGAGAATTCCAGTAAAATATCTTTAATCATTTCTAAGATACAACCATTCAAAGCTCAATCTAATAAATGAACAATTTTGCTTTTACACGATTTGGACAGGAAATAAAGGCAAGGTCATTGGGGCATTGAGTGAAGTGGGGGGAAATGAAACACAGCATGAACGGACATGCTACTTACACAGTGCCATTTCCTCATCCCATTTATATGCCTTTAATTAGGGCACCTCGAGGCGGTGAAATGGTTAGAAAGCTTGTCTCGCTAGAACATTTACGGCTGAGTAATGAGTTCGATCCTCATTGGGTGCCCCATACTTTCGGTCTTGTACCACATCTAAGCTACGTTTGGAAAATCACTATATTCCATTGGTAAGGAAAAAGTTTTTATCAGACAGCATTTTCCTCAGAACTGTTACTTTTTGGAACATATTCTCGAATGGATTCTTCCCTGATCACGACGATTTTAACGTCTTAATGTCTAGGATTAACTTTTATCTATCCTTCATATCCTCATAACATACATTTCTTGCTTCTTGCTTCCTTCTGTTAGGTCTTTACAACAACCTCATTTAATATGCCTCTACATTGAAAGGCTTTTGGGCCTTGATTTGAGCGAACACTTATAAAATATGTACAGCAAACGTAATAACAAATGTATTTCTAAAATCAAAACTAGGCGAGATTAATCGAGAAATGTAGAACCAAAATGCTAAGTCTGCTCTGCCCAGTTATTTTTCTCCGTTTAAATTACGGTGTGAGTGAGTACTGAAGAAATATATTTCCGCGTCGGTATTAAAAATCTGTTCACCTTGAACCTAATCAGTGAAGATTGCCTCAAGCCTTAACTTAAATTGAAGAGACGCCAGGAACTACGTTTTTGTCTCAATGTATTTCCGTCTCGAAAATGTACAGTAGACGAAGACTGGAAACTCAAACAAACAAACGAAAAAGGAAAACTATACACCAGCCACTGAGAACAGTCAAAGAAGATAGATGAAACTAATGATTCGCAATTTTATCGAAAACTGACGTACTTGCAAAGCCGAATTAACAGACGTTAAACACCTACGGAAACGAAGATAAGGATGCCTGTTCGCTTTCATTTTTAGGAAGATAACTGCATTTTGAATCTCAGTATTCATCTTCATTTCCTTTGACTGTCACTGATTTTACTAGTCAAGGAACGGACTGGCTGAAATACTACAGAGTGCCCAATAAAAAAAGCGGTAAATTCAAAAAGACGTGAGGCAACCGTTAAAAACTGGTGACAACTGATGCGACTCAAAAATTCAGGAAGAATTTCTGCACATTTCATAAATCCCCACGTTGGATGTTCTTTGAAAAGTACAAAAACTCAAAATCAGTGAGTTGTTTAGCCATACGCGAAGACCTAAAGTTGTCTGAAAATAACAATTAAATGACAAGTCACAAGCTCGAGTAGAAATTAATCAATCATAAAAGAACCAATCAGAGTTAAGTAACTACGCGCGAGTCGAGTGATTATTCAAGGTCATGAATATTCAAGAAATTTAACCAAGGTCAATTATTCCTGAAAGATCAGTGATAATAAATTCGCCGCTTTTTTTTTTTTTTTTTACTGAGAACCCTGTAACAGATTATAGTCTTGATTTTTCTGAGAAATGCAGCTCGTCCATCGGCTTGTAAAACTTTGAACCCAGATTGAGATGTGGTTGATTGGTCGTCTAAAAACTAAGGTTTTCTTGACAGTTGCATAAATCTCGCTGGAAGGAGAAGTCGATGTTCGAATCCAGGCAGAAGCAGATTTTCGAAAAAGTTGATTTTTAAGGCATGTCCACTTGGAGCTACATAATCAAGTGTATCTGTATTTCATATATTCGTTGAGACATTCCAACTGGGCGAACTTTTGTATGCAAGCAGTTTGTAAACTTCATGAACAACTTATAGCAAGTCGAGGATTGTTAGATCCGAAGGGCGATCAGTGCATACCAATGGACAAGATAAATATGAACTCAATATTTACTTGTTCTTGTACGTGCCGTGCTTCTTCAGAGCATGGACAATCATGACTCTCCACAACTTCCACTGTCTCTTTCTGATTCTGTGTAAAGTGTTCTATTTTAATCGCTTTCTATAGAATTCTCAGTATACTTATACAGAACCACATGCTAAACTTTAGTCTTAACATATCGCGACACGTATCGGAGAGATGAAATTTATTTTTTTCATTATTGCATTATTCCAAAATTTTAACACATCAGCAGATAGCTATTAATGTTAGCAACTGAGCACAAATAGTTATTAATTAAAAAAATAGTAATTAATGTATAACATTATCCCAAACTATATGTACAAGGATGTCGTTTTTGATAAAAGTTAAAAATAACCATAAATTCGTAAAAAATGCGTATATTGTCGAAAATACCCTTTTCCACAATTTAGCTATTTGTGCTATGGTATAATGCTTAATATCCTAACAATAATATATTTTTTTAAACATTAAAGTATATTTAATCACATATCCCTAATAGCTGTCAGGGCCTGTAAATAGAAAGAGAGATAGATAATGAGTACTTTGAGATAGATAGATAGATAGATAGATAGATAGATAGATAGATAGATAGATAGATAGATAATGTGTAGTTCGATAGATAGATAGATAGATAGATAGATAGATAGATAGATAGATAGATAATAAGTAGTTTGACATAGATAGATAGATAGATATATAGATAGATAGATAGATAGATAGATAGATAGATAGATAGATAGATAGATAATGTGTAGTTCGATAGATAGATAGATAGATAGATAGATAATAAGTAGTTTGACATAGATAGATAGATAGATAGATAATAATGAGTAGTTCGATAGATAGATAATAAGTGGTTTGACATAGATAGATAGATAGATAGATAGATAGATAGATAGATAGATAATGTAATGTAGTTCGATAGATAGATAGATCGATAGATAATAACTAGTTTGACATAGATAGATACATACATACATACATACATAGATAACGTGTAGTTAGATAGATAGATAGATAGATAGATAGATAGATAGATAGATAGATAGATAATGAGTACTTTGACATAGATAGATAGATAGATAGATAGACAGACAGATAGATAGATAGATAGATAGATAGATAGATAGATAGATAGATTTGATTATAATAGTGTGATCGATATTGATGCTGAAAAAGAATATTACAGCACATATCAATTCGGCACTTAATCTCTCTTAATTATCCAACATCGTTTCCATTGATGGAAACATTCCTGGAACTTCTCTTTGGTGATAACGAGCAGCTACGCCATCGCATTCTCTTGGATTTTCTCAACGTCTTAAAATATTGTTCCTTTCAAAAATCAAATCCATCTTTGAAGAGAAAAAACTCGCAAGCTGCGAGATCTAGGGAATAAGATGATTGTCGGATGTGGGAAATGACGTACATGGTCAAAAACAGCTGCACAAGCCAGAGTCGCTGATGGAAATTATGTGGCGTGGTGTAATGACCACACTCTACACACTGTTCTTCCAAACACTGCTATAAACAAGGGAAGTGAGCGATGTCAGTATAACTTAGTATGACAAGCGACTTCACTTTGCGTACTTTAGCTCCGTTACTATAGCAACGTCCCGATACTTTTTGAACATATCACGTACGTTTTAAATATTTTGTATTCATTGCAATGATTGTCATGAATCCAAAATTTTCTGCTTAAAATAAACTATTTCCCGATAATCTGAATTTTCCCAGTGACGTCAAAATGTAACATTATTTCTTTCCAATATAGTTTAAACAAGAATGAATGATCGATATTAAAGTTCGATGTGGTTACATTTCTTTCTTTTTTTTTATTCCTTTAAACACTTTATTGTCCTGCGCTTGATAAATATTAATGATCTTAATTATACCCGCGGGATTAGGATACTTTAAAATTCAGCTTCGTCTCAGAGTGGGGTATTTATTTTTACAGGTTTTTAATGAAAAATCAAGGCTTACTAAAATGCGATCAATGTCAATATGAGGCGTCCTATTGGCAAAATATCTCATTAGCCAATCCACAACGAGCATTGCACTGTAAACACTGCCTGATATGCAAGCAGAGTAAAGAGAACCAAGGACATCGATTGGGGACAACAATGTGTGATTTCCCTACTGTCAAACAGTTTGTATGCGTATTGTGGTATAATTGATATTGGCTCGGAAAGAGAACTCTGTGATCCAAGTTCGAATCCCAGTCGTGTCCGTCACATTCACTTACGGGCAAATAACCTTGGGAAACGTAGGAGTCTATCTTTTCCATCTATGGGTTGAATAGCAGAACAGACTGTTGTCGATAACGTTGGTTGGCAAACAGTCTACAACGGAAAGAAATGACAATGGGAAAATGTTCAAACGCTCTTTTCCAACATGCCTTGAGCCTGCATGAAAGAGTAGATTCATAAATATCTGAAATAAATGAAGTCTGCAACAAGCGGATTAAGTGATTGATGATGAAACATATTACTGATTCAAAATCTGATTTATTTTTATGGTAAGAATTCGTAGGACAATGAAATTTCTGGCGCGATATTTCATCAGCCAAGCCTGGATGAATATTTTAATTTCACTGTGTCTGTCACGAGCTACAAAAATAACTGTATTTAAGAATTTAGGGGAAGATATTTCACTCAAGATAACATGAGATTGCAACAACATAAGCGATGGTTTCACTGCCAGTTCTTATGGCCATATCACGTTAAAACACAGGTTCCCGTACTATCATTGAAGTTAAACAACTTCGGGTCCGGTCAGTACCTACATGGGTGATTGCTTGGGAATAAGAGGTGCTGTAAGATTAGATATGCCTCTGGTGTAATGGATAATGACTTGGAATTGTTAATCAGGGAACCGAGTTCCAATTCTAGTTGACTTCGTTACAATCTCTTACGCGCAAATACCATTGGGAAAGTGTTGTAGCAGAACTATGGACGATAATGGGCATGTCCCCATTCACATAAATACAGTAGTAAATACTGTATGTTGGTCTACAGTCGGAGATTTGTCTCCAGGTGTGCAGGTCAAAATCTCTGCCTCCTGGCAAAAAGGATCCCTAGACGAGGCTGTGTCTAATGGTAGAGTCTCGTCTCGGGACACAGCTACATGACCCCGTTTTATACGGGCTCTCCGGGGAAGTTTTGGCCGAGCCTACGGGCTCGGATACCCCACATTAAATTCGGTCACATCTGACTGTGTGGGAGGGTTGGTAGATATCCTGCAGTTGGAGATTCGTCTCCAGCTGTGCTGGTCAAACGCACTGCCTCCGGGCAGAGAGAATCCCCAGACGAGGCTATGTCGAAGTACAAATAGCTACCCTACCCTGTTTTATACAGAGTCTACGGGGAATTTTCCTCCGATCCTACCCCACATTAAATTCGGCCTTGTGCCAAATCTGACCGCGTGGGACTGTTGGTAGATATCCTGCAGTTGGAAATTCATTGTGGAATTCACTTGATTCACTTCTAACAGTTGACTAATTCTTCTACGCGTCGCTGGCGAATCTTATATGTGTTGTTCTTGTCCTAAGTATTATGGTGCATTACCAACCTTCGTGTGATTATTTTATTCAGTAACCTTTCCTAGGTTACAACAGAAAGGTATGGATCCACCTCTTCTCTCCCTAGTAATGGGTTAATTAGTAAGACTTACATCACTAAATCATTATTATCTCTCCATCCAACCTCAATAAAAAAAAAAAAAATTCTTACAGTCTAAAAATATTTTCTGTATTTACATAACCTGAAAACGAAGCAGTCAAATCCAAGCAAATCTCGCAAAATCTACTTATATCCCTGAATTTATCTTTGATTCTCAGCTAGGTCTAGAAGACCTAGAACAAAAAATTTGCTCGCGAGATACCACTGCAGCCGACCAAGAAAAAAACCTCTTATTTACCTGATTTCATCTACAACTATAAAATTTGCTGAATCATCTCATATTTACAACAAGCTTAAAAGGACATTAGACACTCTTGTGAGGTATCTGGTCAGCCATTCAAGGGCATTTTTTTCACTGGCTTCATCACCAACTACAATTTTTATCCGACTGCCAACTGGGTCTTGCAAAAATATATAATTTCCTTTGAAGCGTATTCTCAGCATTTTTTTGAGAGTGCCATTCTTTTCAAATACAAATATATTGTTAAAGTTTTTTTTTATAGAATTATATTCATCATCGATAGGCATAAATATGGCCACCATGTGATCATATGCGTAACCAGAGTTTGAGAATATATTTCAATTTTTTCTTTTTATCTGTACAGCAAAATATTTACAAGATTTTAAAAGTGTCATGTTCAATCAGTGAAATTCCTTATCAAATGTAACAGGATTAAGAAAATCCAGGTAGATAGGATTAACTGATTTGTATTTTTACGTCTTATCACCACTTTATAGCTTATTTAAAGCCCAACATATTTGGGATTGTGAACATATATTTTTGCAAGTAAATATTGTATTGGCAAATTTCTTTGAACAAAAATGATTTTTCCAGATGCAAGTCTTACTACTTAATTCATAGCTGGTACTGGAGAGGATGGCGAAGGTATTTGCCCGTAAATGAACGTAACACCTCCGATTAGAATTCGAACTGTGCTCTTCAATTTCCTATACCAAGCCATAACTCATTACTTGCACGTCCGCTGATAAATACGAAGCCAACCATTTCGAAGTGACTGAAAAAAAAAACATCTTCCTTACACCAATCCTTAAAAACGAATCCAGTAAAAATATAAATAAATGAACTTTAATGTTTACATATACTCAAGCCAGTCCACTGATTCTCTACATATAATTTCATTCTGACTTGATATCAAAAATCAAACATTCATCACATGGTAATTATTTCTGGCTAATATTCATCTTACTTTCAAAAAAACGAAAAGAGCGAAAGGCATATATATATATATATATATATATATATATATATATATATATATATATATATATATATATATATATGTGAAAAGTGAATATAAATATAAATAAATATATATATATGTATAATTATTTATATATTATATGCGCGGTACTTATTAGAAAGCGCTCATATATATATGTATAATTATTTATATATTATATGTGCGGTACTTATTAGAAAGCGCTTATATTTATATATATAAATAATTATAAATAAATAAATATTCAAATATATATATATATATATATATAAATAAAACGGCGAAAACTCTTCGCAAACAAAATTTTAAAGTTGCATTAACCTACGAAACACTCGATGAATGTTATGATCCTTGTTTTTAATAATGTGCCTTCTACAAGTGGTTGGAATGTAGAACTGAACCATTTATTTCGCTCGCTGGGGTAGACTGTTCAAGGACACATGGCACAGCGGATAAAGACGTTAGTTAGATCCAGTCACAGAACCCAAAGTGTGTGAGTTCAATACCTGGTTAAGGTGGCGGAGAACTTGGAGAAGGGGATTAACAGGAGATAACTGATAACTGACATCCATTAGACATGGCACGTGGAACTAAAACAGTCTACCCCAGCGAGAGAAATAAAGCGTTCAGTTCGACATTCCACCTCAAGAAGGCCGGAGCGTACAACAGCCGAAACGTCGTGATAAGTATGGCAAAAAAGATGAGGATGATAGCCCGAATAATATAAATAGTGTCTACTTTCCCTTGATGGCCGACTCTCACTGATAATTATCGAGTTGAAATTCCCACTTTTCTTGAAGGCAGCCATTTTATATGAAAAAAAAAGAAAGAAAACAAAATACAATTTCGCTTCACAAAACGGTAGAAAGGACGAGAAAATTGATTCAAATCTTCGTAATAGTGAAGAAGCCATTTCTTGTCGTATTCTCCATTTCGTTCATCCAAAATCTTTTACTGAGCTTTTCCCACCTACATGCTTTCAAATACGCAAATGGCGGAGAGGGGATCTCGATATTGTTTCCGTCTACAAATAGGTCTGTATGACTTCAGTTATTCTTGCAACAATGTGAACACCGACAACGAACTGTCTATATCTGCATATCGATATATATATATATATATACACACACACCCACACACACATATATATATATATATACACACACACACACATGTGTGTGTGTGTGGGTGTGTATGTGGGTGTGTAAATTTTTATTTCAAAGTACGTGTTAAGTCTAGGGTAAACGGGAGAACAATAAATGCCCGTATGTTTTTTTATAGGAGAACGTTCAACCGATAATGGCACCTCTCTAATATATATATATATATATATATATATATATATATATATATATATATATATCAAGTATAGGATTAATGTATACAGATGAAATTCTAATAACTAAAAATACTATTCTTAAAAGAGAGTTCAATAGAGTAGAGCAAATATAATTTATTCGAAAATTATAACATAGATATGTTAACAAATCACTACAAAAATAGCCATTTTGTTTCAACACTTCTGGTGTCTTATCAAGTGATGGTGTTGAATATAGAATCAACATTTTTTTAAATATGTTTTTATATTTACGGAAGGTTAATCCTTTGTGCGAACATGAAAATTATGGTTTTAAAAGTTTAAAGGCAGCATCAATAATTACGGAATTATCTGGTTTTGAAAATGACCTACTGGAAATCGTCAAAAGATATTGATTCTATGTTCAACACCATATATATATATATATATATATATATATATATATATATATATATATATATATATATATATATAGAAGAGTCACTGAATTGCTATAGGTCTAATGATACGGCAGGGCGTTGATCCTTATTCTAAAAGAGTGACTGGAATAGTGAGGGCTGCCTGCCTGCTTGCCTGATTACGAGTAGTTCGCAATTTTTAGATTAACCAAGAGCAAGAGGACGTCGAAAACCAACATGATTCACATCATGCCACTGTGGGCAGGCGAGTAAATAATGTGTTCTGTGTCGTTACTGGGTTCGAAACCCCGGGCTCCAAGTTCACTTCATATATGCTATCAATAATATATATGGTATCATGTTTTTTTAATCATTTTACCCCAAGCAAGGCAATGAAGCTACTAAGACGCAATGAATTACTGTGTGTTAGAGAGTATGAAAGAATATTATCAAGCATAGAGAACAATAGAAGAACAAGAATTAAGAAGACAAAAGATAATAATTGACAATGCATTTAAACTTTTGAAGATCAAAGTTGACTGGGAAGCTAGAAACTGAATGAGAGTTCCACAGGCAAGAAGTGTGATAGAAGAAACTGTTAGCATAGAACTTACGGTTTTATCTAACCATTTCAACTGTATAATGACGAGACATTATCGCCAGTCTCGTACTGCTTTTAAATTCATAAAGTCTAGTTAACATAGCGGAACGTGCATCCGAATAATTTTAAAGTATTTATAGAAAAAGGCACAGGAAAGCTACTTTACACCGGTCGGAAATTGACTGAAGGCGAGATGCCAGGTCATGACCAATAACATTGCATATACTTTGTATTTTATCAAGAATCTTTAAATGTATAGCAAGATCATCGGACTATATGTGGTAGCAATATTCGAAACATGGGCGAATGGTAGATTTATATGTACGATAAATTCTGGAGAGAAATAAACTGTCTAGCACGACACAGTGAACCACATTTTCTATCACCAGACCTAGCAATCTTTCCACTTCACGCCAGCGGAAAATTTTAGCCCGAGAACGTGTAATGCGTCACTTACCTTGGGGGGGGGGCGTCAGCATAAGCCATGTAGGTGGAATGTAAAAAGGGATCCCTCAGATGATTGGCAAACAGCAGCTTTGTTTTGGAGGCGTTAACATTAACAAGCCATTCCTTACCCCGGT